TGCACCAGCCATAGGGCATCAGCCATAGGACACAGTGGCGAGAGCAATGACGCATCGGTGGGCACCACCTACAGGGCCCCAGCCATGGGACACCAGGGAGAGGATCATCATTCGCAACAACAGGGGCATCATAGGCATCAGCAATCTGGCTTCAGCCATAGGGCACCATGACGAGAACAAGAAATCACAACAATTGGCGCATCAGTGGGCACCACCCCCAGGGCACCATTCAGAGGGCATCAAGAATCGGAGGTGAGGGGGTGAAATCGAAATGGCACGGAGAAGAGCTCCCGTACCGGGAAATCGGTTTCGGTTTCGTGTTCGTGCGTGCCGTGCGTGCAAACGAGGCGAAGCTGCGCGGGCGGGCGAAAAGAAAGTCTCCTCCGGCTGAGGCGCGGCCGGACCAAATGTTTCCTCTCCGGGGGCAGGTGCCGCGCGGTGTCCCGCCGGTGTCCCGCCTCCAGCTGAGGCGCGGCCGGACCAAATGTTTCCTCTCCAGGGGCCGGTGCCGCGCGGTGTCCCGCCGGAGTCCCGCCGGTGTCCCGTCGGTGTCCCGATGATGATGATGATGATGATGATGATGATGATGATGATGATGGTGGTGGTAATGATGATGATTCTGATGATGATTCTGATGGTGTCGATGATGATGATGATGATGGTGGTGATGATGATGGTGTCCCGATGATGATGATGGTGATGATGATGATGCTGACGATGTTGATGATGATGATGGCCATAGTGGTGATGATGATGGTGTCCCGATGATGATGATGTTGATGATGCTGATGTTGCTGATGATGATGATGATGATGATGATGATGATGATGATGCTGATGTTGCTGATGATGATGCTGATGGTGTCCCGATGATGATGCTGATGACGTTGATGATGATGATGTTGATGATGTTGAGATGGTGACATGATGATGCTGATGCTGATGGTGAAGATGATGGTGTACGGATGATGGTGGTGATGATGAGATTGATGACGATGATGATGTTGGTGGTGATGATGATGGTGTCCCGATGATGATGTTGATGATGATGATGACGATGATGGCGTCCCGGTGATGATGATGATGATGTTAATGATGCGGATGATGATGAGGTGATGATGATGATTCTGATGATGGTGGCCCGATGATGATGATTCTGCTGATGTTGATGATGATGGTAATGAAGATGAGGATGAAGGTGCCCACATGATGATGGTGATGGTGAGGCTGATGCTGATGGTGTTGATGACGGTGATGGTAATGATGATGATGTCCCGATGATGATGATGATTGTGATGATGACGGTGACGATGATGATGATGGTGCCCGGATGATGACGCTTTTGATGATGGTGTTGCTGCTGATGATGGTGTCCCGGTGATGATGTTGATGATGTTGTTCATGATGATGAAATGTTGATGATGATGGTGGTGTTCTGATGCTGGTGATGATGGTGTCCCGATGATGATGATGTTGATGATGATGATGATGATGATGGTGACGATGATGGTGTCCCGATGATGATGGTAATGATGCTGATGCTGCTGTTGATGGTGATGAGGTTATGATGAGGGTGTCCCGATGATGATGGTGCGGATGACGTTGATGACGATGATGTTGATGATGATGATGACGTTGAATGTGAGATCGATTGTGATATCGATAGTGGGATCGATCGTAAGAACGTATGTGAAATCGATTGTGCGATCGATAGTGGGATCGAGTGTGAGATGGATAGTCAGACCGATTGTGAGATCGATCGACTGAAATAGGTCGAGTGATACCGATTGTGTGATCTATCGAGCGAGATCGATCGAGCGAGACCGATAGTGAGATCGATAGTGAGATCGGTAGTGAGACCGATCGAGTGAGACGTTGGTTCCTCCCCCCCCGAACCTCCTTATCACCCGACGGGTGGTCGTATAGGTAGGACGATAATTCGCCACAGCTTGTGTAGCCATCGCGCACCAGCCAGAGGGCACCATCCTGCGCAAGAAAGACCACCTTGGTGCAAACACTGCCGGGGGGACTTCTGCTTTCTCCTCGCAGCAACCACGAATGACTGCAGATGGGGGTGCCAATGCACATGCACCAGGCAAACCAGGAGACAGGCCAAGGCCCTTAGGTAACTTCTGCCTGCAGAGCAAAAGACTAAATGGCGGTGGCGGCTGGTTGCTGCGAGCTGGTCTAGAGTCTGGGTCGGCGGTCGTTGCTGTGCTGCTTCCCGTCGAATCTTGGCGCGCTCCTCCCAAGTCATTGGCGGTTTCCGTTCCATGCTGTCCACCGTGACTTGTGTGATGCGCTGTCGTGCCAAGTTGTCCACTGCCAGTACCCACTCGTAGCATCCAAGGTGCGCTGCTGGTTGTGCGCGCTCGTCGGCGGCTCGATCCGCTCGTAGGTTTGGTTCTCCGTTCCCGATCCATGCCCGTCCAGGTACTTCACATTGTCTTGCATTCCAAGTGGCACTGCATATGTCGTATCGTGATGCTGGTGGCGCTGTCACCTCGTTGTATGATGGCCTCGTTCATCAGCTTCCATTTGTCTCCATTGCCTCCGTTGAATTTCTTGGCGCAATGTCGTGCTCTCTTTCATCCGCAGCGTATTGCAGCTGAGTCGGTCCAAAATACCAGTGGTCTTCGAGAATTCTGGAGTAAGCTCAGTCGTGCCCACATGTCCCCTCGGTTGTCGGTCTGCCTCGGCCCTCGTAGTGGTCCCCGTGCTGCCGCTCGCACTTCTGTCCCTTGCGTGCATGCCCGTCCCCATCCGCACCTTCGGTGCCGTAGGTCGCTGGACATCGCTCCTCCGCTGCCGTCGCCGAAGACGTGTAGTGGTGCTGCACGGGTGGTGAGTAGTCCGCGCCGTGCGTCGTCTTTTCTGGTGTCGGAAGGCTCGGCTGCGCAAGGTGGTGGGCACGTCGTGGGCTTGAGCGTGGTCCCCCGGAGCCAAAAGGCTGCACTGGTTGCCGAGCCTTCCTTCGCTCGCTCCTTGAGGTGGTCCGTGAACCCCAAACGACGACCCTGTGTACACCCTGCGAAATGCTTAAGAAATCATGGGTTAAGAAATTCATAGTCTCAGAATTTTAATGAAAACCCAGAATTTCTATCAAAATCTTGGGATTTACATTGAAACAATAAGAATAATCGAGACCCTGGCCGAAAACTTAGGTTTTCTTAACCATCGCCCAAGGTGTAACCAACATCTGCGATGCAACCTATGGAATGGGGAACCTTGACCGACCAACCACGAGACGCGCTACATGGCGCCGATCATACACCCTGTGAAATGCTTAAGAAATCATGGGTTAAGAAATTCATAGTCTCAGAATTTAATCAAAACACCAGAATGTCTATCAAAAGCTTAGGAATTAAATTGAAACATTAAGAATAATCGAGACCCTGGCCGAAAACTTAGGTTTTCTTAACCATCGCCCAAGGTGTAACCAACATCTGCGATGCAGTCTATGGAATGGGGAACCTTGACCGACCAACCACTAGGCGGCGGGCGAGGGGGGGAAATGAGAAGGAGAAGGCCTTCTCAGAAGGCGGCGGGACTTCTCAGAAGCCCTCGCGCCTTCTGATAAGTTTTTTCTGTCTTCGGGGAAGGCTCAGGAAACTTCTCAGAAGGCCGCGGGACTTCCGAGACTTCTGAGAAGGCCCGCCCCTTCTCAATTCCCCCCCTCGCTCGCCGCCGAACCACAAGACGCGCTACATGGCGCCGCTCATACGGCACCGACCGTTGGGCCCCCGACCGGGAGCGGCCACCTGCGGCACACATGGGGATCATAGGATACCGCGCACGGGGCACCGACAAGGGGGCACAGACAAGGCACGGCCGACTGCGGCCTTGAAGGCCAACCAAAGTCAGGGGGACGTAAGACCTAGGTACAGGGGACTCGGAAATCCCCGACGAGGTCGTCAAAAAAATGACGAGGCCGAGCCTGCATTTTGACGAGGGCTCCCGCTGCAGACATCCCACGAAACTCCTCCTCGTCAAAATCCGAGGCGCGGTCGTCAAAAAACGATGGCGAACCCGAGTCCTGGCAAACCCGGGTCTTACGCTCCCCCGACAAAGGGCACCAACGCGTCGGAAACTAAAGGGGAGATCATGTGGAACCATCTGGCACAAGCGCATAAGAAACCAGCCACCAGGCACTGACCCGACTGCGACCCCGTGGGCCAACCAGAAGGCGGCACCAACCAAACGGTGTAGACCGGGAACGGCCAACTGCGACCCCGCGGGCCAACCAGAAGGTACCAATGAATAGGGCACCATTCATAGGGCACCGACCAGGAACAGCTGACGACCCCGCGGCCAACCATCAGGCACCAACGCATAGGGCACCAGCGCATAAAGGGCACCGACGGGGAACGGCCGCATGCGATCCCGCAGGCCAGCCATAAGACACCAACCACATGGCGCCGACCGGTAACGGCTGACTGCGACCTCGCGGGCCAACCATTGGGCACCACCACATAGAATCTCAGCCAGAAAGCGTGAACGGTCGAATGCGACCTTGCAGGATAGGAATCCCCTGGGTGCAAGCACTGCGTGGAGAATAGTTCAGACGATTCCGGGACTTATGGTAGTCTTTACACATGGTTCTGCATGGTGGTCGCGAGTGGCGGCACGAGAGTGCGATCACTGAGATGGAGGTCGTCCCCACTTCAGCTGCGATGCTGCATTCACAATAGCGCTATGGGCAATGCTTTTACATACCACGTGCATAGGCAATGACACGATGCACCATGATCCAGGGAACCGCGTCAATTCACACTCATAAGCAGCACGTGCAACCGCACGCGCGCTTCCATGCACACAATACATTGAATGCACAGGGCACATGCCGTACCCGCAACCCCAGCGTGACAAAGCTTGCCAAAACCTTCCACCAAGAAAACAACCTGCAAAGCAGAGTGCTCCGACTCGCGCACATAATGCATGCAGAAGTGCGGGCACATGCAAGAAAAACATCGCATTCGAGCGTGGCGCAGCTGGGCGCACTCTGCATTGATCGTCTCGCCGCATCTTGCAATCACCTGCGGTGTCGCAACTCCTGTGCTGTAGCGGTAAGCTTCTCTACACTCTTGGCATCATCGTGACGGCTGCACGCGCTTACTCATTGAGAGCTGCGCCAATCAACTCCCATTGCCTACTTTCAAACATCCCCTCAACCCTCCATTTGCTTTACCATCTGCTGTGCTCCGTCACTAATTTTCGGTCAACGCACAATCGCGATGACCATTCTGGAAACGGTCACCCGCTACGCTCACGAGTGCCTGCCTGCAAACCGGGGGAACACTGCGTTGGCGCCAGCGCAGGGCATCGGGGCTCGCATATATCTAACTGAAGGCACTGGTCAAGTGGAACAACGGCCAATAACGCAAGGGTTGATCCGCTTGCGAGTGAGAGCTCCAGGCGAAGGTCGCAAGGGGGTACTCGCTCCTGGTGTCAACTGTCGGCGCCCTGCCCTGCCCTAGCAATGCCTTCCCTCAGCCCGCATGTCGCCGCTGCAATGTGCTGGCGATTCATGGACGGCTCGACCTCGCAGCGGGAGCGCTTTAGTTGGTGAGGCAGGATAGGCACAAAGACAATTCGTAAATGGAGGTGAAACTGACCGGATAAGAATATCAAGCCATCCGCCGGACACACACACAGTCCGACCTGTACAAAGGCTCTGTTTGATAGTGCAGGTAGCAGGCCCTGCCTGCCTCCAAAGCTGGAAACAACACAAGACGATCTCTGTCGGCAGCAGCAGAGCTGTGCCGCGGGCTAGACTGATACCCCTTCCCGACCATGCCTTGTCCAGCGCATTCTTCTCCCAGGGCCGCGTCCATTTCCCATAACACGATCGCATGGCGTTGCTCATTGCATGTGCGCAGCACGTGTCCGAAGGGAACTGTTTGCCAACTCCGATCACATGAAGGTCTTCCAATCTCGATTTCCGCACGCGTCCTTCTCCTGCCCGGCAACCGCTTCCTCCTTCTGCTCGTCCCTCACTTGTCCCATGTGAACAATACCTGGCGAGACGGGTGCGCTGCAAATCAGAAATCGGAGGGTGGGGGGTGAGACCGAAATGAAACAGAGCCGCCCAACCTGGAAATAGATTTTGGTTTCGATTCCTGTCGTGCGTGGCGAACCTGCGCGAAATCCTGCACTTTCTAAGCCCGAGACATGCCCTGTTCCCCGCACGACAGGGCGTGCGCTGGGTTGTCCCGCGATTATCCCGCAATTGTCCCGCGGTTGTCCCGACGGTTGTCCTGCGGGTTGTCCCGGTGCTTGTCCCGATGGTTGTCTTGCTGGTTGTCCCGTTGGTTGTCCCGATGGTTGTCCCAATGGTTGATCCAAGACGGCTGTCCCAATGGTTGTTCCAATGGTTGTCCCAATGGTTGATCCACTTGTTGCCACGATGGTTCACCCAATGGTTGTCCCGATAGTTTTCCCGATGGTTGTCCCGTGGTTGTCCCAATGTTTGTCCCAATGGCTGCCCTGATGGCTGTCCCGATGGTTACCCCGATGGTTTGTCCGCGATTGTCCATGGCTGAACTGCGGTTCCCGTGGTTGCCTCAATGGTTGTCCCGTGTTTGTCCTGCGGTTGTTTCGTGGCTGTCCTATATTTGCTTGGTGTTCGTGCCGTGGGTGTTCCGTGAATGTGCCGTGGTTGTTTCGTGGTTGACCCGTGGTTGTTTCGCAGTTGTCTCGCGATTGTCGCGTGGCTGTTTCGCGGTTGCTCCTCGGTTGTCTCATGGTTGTCCCATGGTTGTCCTGTGGTTGTCCCGCAATTGTCCCGAACTCCTTCCGCGGTTGTCCCGTGGTTGTCTTGTGGTTCAACCGCGATTGTCCCGTGGTTGACCCGTGCTTGTCCCATGGTTGTCTTGTGCTTGTCCTGTGGTTGTCACGCGGATGTCCCGACATTCGTCCGTGGTTGTTCCGTGGTTGTCCCGCGGTTGTCCTGTGGTTGTCCTCTGGTTGTCCTGTGGTTGTCCTGTGTTTGTCCAGCGGTTTTCTTGACGTTGTTCCGACGTTGTCCCGCGGTTGTCCCGTGGTTGTCCCGTGGCTGTCCCGCGGTTGTCCCGTGGTTCTGCCGTGGTCGTCCCGTGGTTGCCGTGGTTGTCCTGTGGCTGTCCCGTGGTCGTTCTGTGGTTGCGCCGTGGTTGTCCTGCGGTGTCCTGTGGTTGCTTGGTGTTTCGTGGTTGCCCCGTGGTTGCTGTGTTTGTCCTGTGGTTGTCCTGTGAATGTCCAATGATCGTCCCGTGGTTGTCCCGAATCGGTTTGTTCTGTGGTTGTCACGTGGTTGTCCCGTGGTTGTCCCGTGGCTGTCCCGTGGTTGTCCCGCGGTTCTGCCGTGGCCGTGCCGTGATTGCTAGGTTTTTGTCATGTCGTTATCCCGTGGTTGTCCCGTGATTGCCTCGTGGTTGGTTGTCCCGTGATTGTCTCGTGGTTAGCCTTGGCCCATGGCTTTCTCGCGGCTGTGCAATGGTTGTCGCGTGGCTGTTTCGCGGTTGCTCCTCGGTTGTCTCGTGGTTGTCCCATGGTTGTTCCTGTGGTCGTCCCGTGAATTCCCCGTGGTTCTCCAATGGTTATGCAGTGGTTCCGCAATGGTTAACTGTCCCGTTGTTGGCCCGTGGTTGTCCCGTGGTTGTCCCGTGGTTGATATGTGGTTGCCCTTGCTGTGGTTGTCCCGCGGATGTCCCAACATTAATCCGTGATTGGTCTGTGGTTGTCCCAAAATTGTCCTGTGGTTGTCCTGTGGTTGTCCACTGGTTGTCCTGAGGTTGTCCCGTGGTTGTCCCGTGGTTGTCCTGTGTTTGCCCTGCGGTTTTCCTGACAATGTTCCGACGTTGTTCCGCGGTTGTCCCGTGATTGTCCTGTGGCTGTCCCGTGGTTGTTCTGTGGTTGTGTTGTGTTCCTGTGGTTGTCCCGCGGTTGTCCCGTACTTGTCCTGTGTTTGTCAGACGACGTAGCGAAACTAGTATCCAGTGGTACCAATACGTGGGTCGTAACATTAGTAGAAAATAATGATGAGGAGATCGATGTGTGCACGTGTGCGTATTCTATATTCACACATGTTTGTATATGAATGACTCAACCGATGCGTAGTCTGATGCGTGTACCAATGTATGTACACCTGGAATACACATGTAAACACACACGCCTATATATATATATATATATATGGATTCTCCCTGGCGGCTTCACGCTTACCCAGAGCTCACCTTAGGAGCGAGGGCGGGCGGAATGGTGGTAGCCATAACGAAACACTTCTTCTGATCGCACGGACGCGCACTCGCATGCGCGTTCTGTTCTGTAGCAGTCCTGTCGCAGGCAACATCACATGATACCGTGATGCAATCGTGATACTCACACTGAGGCCGGAGAGTCTTCACTCCCGGAAGAAACACGCCGAAAGCAAAAGCCGACCTGCAGCTCTGCTGACAGCGTCTAGGAAAATAAATGGTGGGTGGCAGGGGGTGGTCTGCGGCGCGCTTGAGCATATGTATGCGGATGCAAGCGCACGGGGCGCTTCACGCCTCTCTCGGAAAACACATGTCACAGAAAAACAATATCCCTAGAGGCTTCACGCTTACCCAGAGCACACCGTAGGAGCGAGGGCGGGCATTGTGACGGTTGGTAGCCACAACGACGCACTTCGTCTGATCGCGCGGACGCGCACTCGCATGCGCGTTCAGTTCTGTAGCACTCCTGTCACAGGGAACAAATCGCGATGAAATCGTGATACTCACACTGCGGCCGAAGAGTCTTCACTCCCAGATCTGCCCAAATGGCAACTGGCACAGCCGGCTTCAGCGAGTCCGAAGGGATTGCGGTAACCTCGAAGGAAAAACCTTTCTGCTTCAGAAGCTCTGCTCTGCTGTTCTGTGGACATCTTATGCACTTGACGAAGGATCTTCCCATGCTTCAAATCTCCCACCACGCTCTGGGCGTGCGCCCATTGGCCACGCTTCTGGATGTGTTCAAGCGTGGCTGCACCTGCGCACGTCATAGGAGGCCCCCGCGTGCCTAACTCCGCGGGGCGAGACTTCTACATCTGCGAGCCCCAAGTCGAAGGACGCACGACGGAACAGAGACTCATACTTTGAGGGGGTCGAATCAAACATGTAGGGGGCCTAGCGGGCCGCACGGTACCAGAGACCAAGTGCCTCCGCCACCCAAGGCCGCTGCAGCTAACGGACCACCGCTGTGCCGTCGACCACTCCAGCCTTGGTCGGTGCAGCGTGCTCGGCCTCGCCGAGAAGCAGCGCCCGGGCCCGTGCGCAGCGGCGCCCAGCCCGGGGCGCAGGTGGCAGCACCGACGACAGCAGCAGCGACGCGGCCTCGTCCGGCCTCAAGTAGTAGTCGAACTGCAGGGCTAGACACACCGCGACGCCCGCCAGGCCCTTCTCCAGGCAGTGCAGGCCTAGCATACAGACGACGCAGAAGGGAATCGGGTCGCGCACCCGCTGCGGGGCTCGAGTGGCCCAGCCGCGGAGGGCTCGCGACGCCTTCGGGAACAGGTGAGCCTTGTTGCAGTCCAGGTGCGTGTTGAAGTGAATGTAGCCGTAGAGGACGTCCCGCCTCTCCGGGGGGGCAGAGCCGTCGAAGTACAGGTCCGTGAAGTAGTGCTCCATCGCCGAGTCTGTCGAGCTGAGGTGGCCGAGGTCGTGGCCCTCCAACTTGGCCCAGCCCTCGAACCTGATCGGCGCCTCCGAGCGGAGGCGCTTCGTGGAATCGGTGACCGTCCCGAGCCGCAGGAAGCTCTCACGCGCGGCCGGCGGCGCGCGCCCCCTCCGCGCGGCCGCCAGACGAACCTTCTCCGCGCCGACAGCCGCGCAGCCTGCCTGCCGCTGGGCGGGCTTCAGGTCCGCCTGGATGACCCCGCGCGCCGCCGAACTGGTCGGCGCGTCGCGCGAGGTGCCGTTGGCCGCGGTCTTCGGCGCCAAGGCCGCAGTGAGTTTCACCGAGTTGCGCTGCAGCACCATGCGCCCGCGGCACCAGGGCCTCCAGCTCCGAGTCCCACTCGAGGGAGAGCGGCCCAGAGTCGCCGAAGGCCTCGGGAGGCGCGGCGGAGCAAAGCGCGGCAGCCCACTCCCGACAGAGGGCGGGCGCGTGGGCACCTGCCTCGAGCCCGCTCTGCAGAGGCTCGCGGCGGCGAGTCCCATCGCATCTTCTCCCCAGTGCGTCCAGACAGGTGGCATTGGTGAAGAGGGCGGTCGGCTTGCGAACTTTCTCACCGAACCCGCAAATATCAAACGAGACATAGCGGGCGTCTGGCAAACTGGCAAGGACAGCAAGTGGCTCAAAACGAAACAGCTTCGAGCTCGACGGGTCCTCTAATGACCACAGGACCCCACAGCGGTCGCACTCGTGAAGAGGGCCATGTCGACTGAGATCGCCTCCAACCTCCTGGCCCGCCCTGCGTTAGAAGGCGCGGAGCGAGCGACTGACCAGGTGGCGCATGCTGTCCCCAGGTGTGCGCACCAGAGCTTCCCACTCCGAATCCAACGCAGCACAGCGCGCTGCGTCGAGCGCCGCGACAGGTCGCAGCGGGCGGGCCGCTCGGCGCCCGGCAGCGCCCGCAGCCCTAGGCGCCCGACAGCCTCGCCGAGCCGGGCCGCTTTGGCAAAGAGCTCCAGCATGGCCTGGGCCGGCTGAGGCGCGCCGTGATGTCGGCCCCCCCCCAGACGGCGGCCTCCGCCCGGACGTCCAGCCACGGGAGCTCCGCCCTCCAGCCTCCTGGGCACCAACGCTCGCGGGACCCAGAGCCTCCAGGATCCTTCCGCGTGGTTGCGGTCTGCGCGGATGTGCCGGGCGCGCCGGGCCACGGCGCCGGCGACCTGGCGCGCGGCCGCCCGACGGCACAGCGCATTGAGCGCCCAGCTCGAGGGCCGTCCGCGGTCGAACACCACGGCGGACACAAGGTTGTCCGACAGGGTGAGCAGCCGGCGGTGAAAGCCTCGTCGTGTCCGTAGGCTGCGACGGAGACCCATGAGGCACACCCTGGCCTCCTTGATGTTGATGTGCCCCTGCTTCCAGTGCCAGAAGCCCTCCGCCAGCGTCTGCCAGCGCCGCCAATTGCCCCAGCGAGCGCCGACCACGGGGATGGCCTCGAAACCTTCCACCTCCTCGCGCGGCCCAGCTCCACGAGCCCTGCGCCGACTCCTTGGCTGCCGGCCCTCCTGGCCCGCCGCGGTCTCGGCGTCCTTGGTCGCCCCGGCGGCCCAGTGGGCCAGGCGGGTGCGAGCTCCCAGCGGCTCCCAGGCAGCCTTCCCGACCGCGTGCGGGTCGCCGGACACCTCCTCCTGCTCGGGGCCCCCTCCGTCGAAGTGGAACCCGTGGGCCGCCCCCGGCGCCCGCGCGGCGGGGCGCGGCGCTGGCGGGGGCGGAGGCGCGGCCTTGAATCTCCAGCGCCCCCGCCACCCGACGTCCCCCAGCAGCTCGTCGCCCGCGCCCCCGGTCTCCATGGGCGCGTGCCCGTGGCCCGACGAGTCGCCGAGGTAGACCGAGGGGTTGAACGGCGCGTCCAGCTCGACCTCACAGGCGAAGACCAGGTTAGACATGAGCCGGAGCTCCCGTCGCACGCCTCGCCAGAGGCGCCCTGGCCTCTCCCCCGCGGGCTGCGACGACGGCGCAGCACTGCGACGGGACCGACAGGAGCGGCTGGCAGAGCCCGCTGCGCGGCCCAGCCAGATCTCGAGCTGCCAGCCCGCGACGACGCGCCGCCGCAGGAGGGCCACCGTCGCCAGCTTGAACCGCCATAGCCTGGCAGCCCGATGTCGCAGGCGTCGGCCCGGCCCGTCAGACTGCGGCCCAAGCGCTTCGAGGCGCGGGCTGCGCGGGATCACGTCGCGGAGGTCGAGGCCGAAGGCAGCGCGCTGCGCTCTGAAGTCGCGGCGCGCCAGCTCCGCGTCTGGGGCGCTGAGGCCGAGGCCCGTGCGATTGCCCGCGTAGACGGCGCCAGCGGGTCGCCCCGGGGCCAGCCGAGGGACAGGGGCCCGCTCGAAGCAGACCGGCCCAGCCGTCGGCTGCCGCGGCCGCGGCGCGGGAGGCCACCGCTTCGCTGCAGAAGTAGAGCGCCCAGGACCAGCTCATGGGCATCGCGCCAATGCAGAGGTAGAAGCGCTCGTGCTTGCCCAGCTCCACGTCCAAGCCCAGCTCAGGGTCGAACACCGAGGTGATGCCAAAACTCCCCTTGTTGAACGACTCGTCGATCCCGAACCAGTCGGCCACCTCGACGATGCTGAACAGGTAGAAGCCGTCGCGCACGTCAGCGCCACTCCGGCGGAAGTCCAAGGCTGGGGCGCCACCAACACCAGGAATAACGCAATGCGAGGCCATGTCAACCGCGCCACCTCTGCGAACTCCGCCAGGTTGAGCTCGGCAAACGACTGCGCCGTGCCGAGCTGCGCGGTGGGCGGCGGCGCATGTCAGGCGTCGGGGTAGCGGGCGCCCGCGACGAGGCGGATCGCATTCTTCTTCTTCTTGACAAAGAACAGCCCGATGTGGCCCTTAATCCGTCGTCGAGGCACGAGGATACCAGAAGACACCAAGCGCCTGAACAACTCATGTCGGGCGGCCCGACCCCTCCGCAGCGCTGGGTCCCAGTGCGGCTTCGGGGCAGGCTCTCGAGCGAACTTCGCCGCGATTTCCTACGTGGACAGCTCGATGCACGTCTGGTGTCGTCGGAACCTCGGCGCCGCCTGCAGCGGCAACGGCCCTCTCGTGTCTTTGGGGGCCACCACTCCCTGTGCCGCTCGCAGCTCGGCTGGATCATGACTGGAAAGGTGACGGGGCTCTTGGCCGTGCAGGTCCTTCGTCTTGAAGAGCTCTTCAAGGGCTCCACTCGGGGTGGGCTCACCGGGGGCCGAGCCTGCGCGCCCGGCCCGGCCCTCGAGGCTCGCCAGCATCTCCCGCTGGGCCGCTGCAGGAGGTGAACTCGCCAGCGGAGACCTTCTAAAGTGCGAATTATTTGTTTGAGCGGCCGCCAGTTGGTCGACGCCCAATACTGCATCTCGAACAAGCCCTTGCCGCGCCGTAGAGCGCCACCACCGTTGCTGCACATGGCGAGGAAACTGCCGAACTTCAGGAACTGGGACAGGACGCCGCCGGGCCGCCAGTCGGCGTTGGTGACCCGCGGCGCTGAAGGGGCCATTTAGCCCTGCAGAGGGGCCTGGGCTCCTTGGCCTGCCCCTCTGCCTTTGCCCTTCACGTCGCCCTTCTTGGGCCCGCGCCGCCTGTCTCGCTCGCTCTTGGCCTCTTCCTTGTGCAACCTCGACTGCTGAAGGATGTTGGGCCGCTCCTTCTGTCTCTCTGACACCCAGGTCCTGAACTTGGGCGCTCTGGGAGCCTCGTCAGCCCCCGCGGCACCGTCCGCAATGACCCCGGGTCCATGAATCAGGGTCGCGAGGATCACGAGACACTGCCATCTCCAGCATGACGACCTTCCTCGCGAGCAGCTCGAACGAGGCGAGGTTGCTGGCGTCGACTTGATCGACGCTGGTCGCCACGCGCAGCATCTCCATCGCATTCTTGTGTTCATGCGCGATAGCGCTGTTCTGGTTGACCCCAGACAGCCTGATCCACTCTGCATGGTAGGACGTCGGGTTCCCGGCACCTTCCCTGATCGAGGCCTCGAGTTCCTTGCGCACCCGCGGGCCCTCGAACGTCCACTCTGGCATTGGACTCTCTCGCGACATGCCAACCGCATCAACCGTGTCCCGTCCGCCGCCGTGTGAACCCCCAGGCTCCTGATATCTCCACCGCCACCTCGACGCTGACCACTCCATTCTGCCAGACGCGCTCGAGCAACCTTCTCGACTCCGCGAGGAACGCCTTCGCGCCTCGCCAACCCACGGTTGCCCAGCTCCACGAAGCCATCGCCGTCGACGACCCCCTCCTCCACGACCGTGCCGAACAAGAGGTCGTCCAGGTCCGAGAAGACCCACTCCTCCGCGTCCATGGCCTCGTCCTCTTCTCCGCCGAGCGCCGCCGCCTGCAGTCTGGCTCTACGCTTGTGCCCTGCCACGGCCTGCCGCCCGATCGGATCGAAGGCGTACAAATACCCCGCGATCGCCGGGGGGAGCGGCTGGCCTGCCTCGCTCCAGCACCTGGTGGCGCCGCTCGTCCAAGTTGAGCCTCTCCAAGTCCAAGTCTGGCGCGAGCGCGATCCACGCGGCATCTCGTACTCGGCGTAGAATACGATGGTGCCAAACAAACTTGGGATCAACATCGAAACGAACTGCCACTTGGAACTCCGATATGTCCGGGCATCTGAGCAGCGTCGCCACTCCGTGTAGACGGCGTCACAGGACCCGCTGCGCTGGCCGTCGGCGCCAATGGGCTGGGCGAGGAGCGGGATGGCGTCGACTCGGTGGCCGGCGGCGGCAGCCCTGCGCCCGCAGAGGCGCCCGCGCCCCCCGCGGCCCAGCACAGCCGCACGGTCACCGTCACCCCGGCTGCGAACCCCGCCAGGGAGACCGCCAGCAGCAGCCACGAGGGATGGCCCTCTCGCAGCTCGGGCGACCGCGCCTCGCAAGGCACAGGCGCCCGGCCAGGCGACCCGCAGGTCAGGGAGCCACACTCCCTCCACGTGCGGGCGCACCAGCGACGGGCACGGAGGGCAGGGTTGCAGGGCAGAGCTGAAGTGTCGCAGGATACCTCCGAGCTGAAGCAGGTCCATGCGCGCTTGAGCACACACACGCGCACACATATATATATATATATATATGTATATGTATATATGCGGATGCAAGCATACGGGACGCTTCACGCCCGTCTCGGAAAACACATGTCACAGACAAACATACAGATATATGTTCACAAGCGTTGGCAACTGTATGGGTGGTTCATGAAATCGTTTGGTGATGAGGCAGAACAATCGACAAGGACATCGATCTGTAAATCATGAGATCACTAGATGTATAATTTGCGAATCCGATGCGGCTCCAATCGCCGCAAACCGAAAGCAGCAGCTATACCCCCCAACCTCCTTACCATTCGAATGGTAGGAAAGCTACCCGTTCGTACAGCGTCGTGCTTACAGAGTGGCCAAGCAATCTTATTTTCAGCATGGTGCGCAACACACAATCAACACATACATGACTAAGTCCCCGACGTTGAGCGTCAAATCGTACGCAATGACCTCCTGTTCCAAGGTAAAAGCATTCCGGAATAAGCTATGGGAGCGCAATGCGCGAAAGTTGCAAAGCCGCTCCCTCACAATACTGTGAACAGCATGTGCTCGTGACAGACGCATGCTCGTCTAATACAAGGAAATTAGATGGCGACGCATGCATGTATCAATTCATACATATGGACATGTCCTGGCCAACATCGCATCTGCTGCTCAGTAATATGCACATTGACGCGAGCAAATCTTATCCCGCAGCTATAATCAGCACGTCAAGGGACTGGGCCACACAAGCCCAGATTGGACGGGTACTCTGAGTAAGGTACGACCTCAACGATCGCAAAGACAACGGGGGTAAGCAGGAACGGGTGCATGTACAAGGGAACAGCCAAGAACAACATGTTGAGCAAGTGTTCTGTGCAATCTGAAACGCGACAAGTGCACCAGAGATGGGAAAAGGCATGCCTCGAAAGATCCCCCCTTCGAATTTTGAACGTCGTCATCCGCCGACTATAGAGGCGTGTGCGACCAGACCCTCTCTCGGCACCACTCCTGCTGGGACCCCCAACATGCCATTCTTGACTGGAATCGACCCCGACCCCCACCTCGCCCCCCATTACGCCCAGGCATCCCCACGTTCTAGGATCTACGCTCTTGGGACCCCCCCATACACTTTCTCCCCCGGCATCGACCCCGACCCCCACCCCGCCCTCCACCCCCCCTCAATATCATCTTTTCGTGGGATCCCCCACCATGCAATTCCTCACCCTCGTTTTCCCTGGCATCGACCCCGCCCCCCACCACGCCCCCCACCACGCCCAGGCATCCCATCATACAATTGTTCCCCCGGCATCGACCCCGACCCCCACCCCGCCCCCCACTCTGCCCCGGCATCCTCGCCCTCTCAGACCTCTGATCTTTGGGACCCGCCACAATGCTATTTCTCGCCCAGCATCCACCCCGACCCCCACCCCACCTTCCACCACGCCCCGGCATCCTCGCCCTCTCAGACCTCTGATCTTTGGGACCCGCCGCAATGCTATTTCTCGCCCAGCATCCACCCCGACCCCCACCCCACCTTCCACCACGCCCCGGCATCCACACTCTCTGGGACCTCTGTTCTTGGGACCTCCCGCCATGCAAACACTCCCCAATAATGCATCCCGACCCCCACTTCGACACGGCATCCTCACCCTCTTGGACCTCTCTTCTTGGGACCGCACACCATGCAAGTACTCTCCCGGCGTACACCCCGACCCCCACCCCTACCCCCACCACACCACGGCATCCTCAACCCTCTTGGACCTCTCTTCTTGGGACCCTCCACCATGCAGTCACTCTCCTGGCACACGCCCCGACCCCCACCCCGCACCCCACCACTGATGCGCGACGCCCTGGCATCCTCGCCCTCTGGAATCTCTGATCTGGGGCCCCCACACCATGCATTTTCTCGCCCTGCATCGACCCTGACTCGCCTCCGACCCCCACCACGCCCCGGCACCCTCACCCTCTTGGACCTCTGTTCTTGGGGCCCCCCCACCATGCAATTTCTCGCCTGGCATCCACTCCGCCCCCCACCACGTCCCTGCCTCCTCATCCTCTGAGACCTCTGCTCCTGGGAACTCACACCATGCAATGTTTTCGCCTTGCATCGACCCCGCCCCCCACCCCGCTCCCCACCCCGCCCCCGCATCCTCACCCTCGGGGGCCTTGGTTGTTGGGAGCCCACACCACGCAATTTTTCTCCGGCATCGACCCCGACCCCCACCCCGCTCCCCACCACGCCCTGGCATCCTCACCCTCTGGGAAACCTTTTCCTTGGAGCCCCCTCCACGCAATTGCTCTCCAGCAACGACCCCGACTCCCACACCGCCCCCCAACACGCCTCAGGATCCTCCGTTATTCGGACCCTCCACCATACGATTCCTTGCCCTCTATCTCGCCCAGCATCGACCCCGACCCTCACGCCGCCCCCCACCACGCCTCGGCATCCTCACCCTCTGGGACCTCTCTTCTTGGGACATCTCACCATGTAATTTGTTGCTCGCCCAGCATCGCCCCCCATCCCCACCCCGCCTCCCTCCACGGAGTGTAGAGAACATAGAGGGCGAACAGTCGAGAGGAGAGCGTACAGGATGGGAAGCAGAGAGACATAGTGATCCACATTCGTCACCTTTCGCCCTCGCCTGCCACCATGATGCCCTTCAATTATGACGCGCAACGAACATATTCGGCTTTCTTTATTGTAGCTTTCCCTGGCTCTCCGGATTTTGCAGTAGATCGGCTTCTGGACTTATCCCATATGGAACCCTGGACTCATCGAATCTGACATCACCTCTGTGACGACCCCCAATGGCCAACAACAAATACGTGTGCAATGCAAAAACGGAAATTGCGAGCAATCCGTCACAATCCATCTAAGACTTAGAACAGCACAGGACGCGCAAGGTGCCTTCGTGCGCTCGCTCAGCGGCTCGATGACCTGCCGGCAGCTCGCCCACCCCCCGTCTCGAAAGAACGGGGCACTTTGATGCTCAGCAAGGCTGCAGACGTTCTGTCGTAGGGGTAGCCTCAGACTAGCGCGTCCAGGGTACGTGCCAAACCTCCGCCTATCACCTCAGATTCTGAAGGCACAGCTCGCGCAGGAGCCTGACTGGAGCTTGGCTTCGTGGAGATCGGCGAAGCGGAGCCGAGAGCGAGGAGACCAGCAAACGAGCCCGTCCTCGGTGTCCGGCACGTCCCCCGTGACTTGCAGGCTACCCAAGACGGCAACAGAGGGCACCGCGCAGAGCAGACGCTGCCCACGGGTGTGTTTTCTTTTTTGGTACACACACACACGCATATACATAGATATATACACTAAACAAAAACAATAATCAATGCGGAATGAGCTCGCGCGCGTCCGTCCGCATCACGAGCAAAGTGGAAGCGATCGTGAAGCAGATCCGCAACCCCAACCGAGAGGGGTGAAGGCCGATGCTGCACTATGCAGCGCTGTACCGCCCAAGCCGAAGCAGCGACCCAAGAGCACTGTCGCAGCGCATCCCCTGCAGATACACTGCCCACGGGTGCAGTGAACTCCCAGAGAAGCAACTGCATTCCTTGGGCGCCGAGCATCGGTTGCACTGGAGCGCTGAGCGCTTGCACAAGCTCCTAGCCAAGCAGCGCGTGGACGAACTGCCCTCTCTCTCTCTCGCCCTCCTCCTCCCCCTCCTCCTCCTCCTCCACCTCCTCCTCCTGATGCAGGTCACCTTGGCACCCACGGCTCCCTCGAATGCTCGTCCTCTCGTCTCCTTACCCATCCCTCTGCTCCTAGCCCTCAACCCCCCCCCGCCCCTCCCCCCCCGCCCCGTCCCCCCGCGAACGTGACGAACGCCTCGAGCGCGAGGACGAGTCGAGCGTTCTCTCGGCCACAGCGTGCTCTCGAGCGTGGTGTCCGAGGGTCGGCCGAGGGTCTGTTTTCCCGACGGCTGGCACGTCCAGAAGGACATGACTGCACATGTTTCTACGAAGACGCTGGAGATATATTTTCTCTATATACGTATAGAACACTTTATATAGATACATACATAGATGTACACATCAGAATGAGGGGGCCGAACGGTCATTCATTGTCCCTGGGTGCATGGCTGGAGTGGGGACCCGTGGTGAGGATTATGTTTGTTGTTGTTGTTGTTGTTGAACTCTCATTTCTGAAGAAGAATTCTTGTTGATCCCCCCCGTCCGGTGCACATTTTTTCTTCGATTGAAAGTGCCCTTCCCGGGGCTCGCGCCCTGGTTTTTATCACGGCAACAACAACAACAACAACAACAACAACAACAATCATTTAAGACTGGGGACACTCCGTTCTCACCAGTGCCAGGGTTTTCATAGGAGGCGGGCAATACCCCCACTTTGTGGGGGGGCCGGTTCAAGCTCTACCAAATTTCCAAACGACTCTTCGCCACCACCCACACCCAGCTTCCCGCCCTATGACGTTCGGACACTTCACTTCGTGGCATGCGGACGACCGTGGCTACTATTCAGGGCCCCGCGGCCGACGACGACGGCGTGCGCGCGCGAAGAAAAAACGAATGTGTCCCGCATGGTATTATTTGACAGGGATGATGGCCCTGGCAGGTGCGCAACCGTTGTCGCAGAAGTTCGAAAAAGTTGCTCGCAAAAGCCCGTTTGACAGAAATGTTTAAAAAGTGTTGGGTTTCCTACGAATCCGCAAGAGCGCGCGGGATGAGATTTTGACATTTTTTTGTTGAAAAACCATTGGTTTTTTGATGTTTTTATGTTAAAATCGCTCCGAACACTAAGCTTTTGGAAGGATTTCGTCTTGCGCGCGCGAATGTCCACTTTACCTTATTTTTTGCAAGGGATTCTTGAAATTTGATTATATTAGAACAAGAAATGTCATTTTATAGTGTTTTTTGCAAGGGAAAACGGATTACAACAAAACAACCGGATCTGGATCACATCGTTTTACCTGAGGCTTCCTCACGAAAATGATGAAAATGTAGCTGCGGCCTAGGCGGCGCAGGGGGGGCGTGCACCAGGGGGCCCAACAATAATTATTCTTTAGAATAAATAATGTTCAACGGCTCCCGCCTGATACTTCCTTACAATGTATTGAAGAATCGCGCTCTCGCTTGGGACTTCCTTCCAATTTACCACTGGATCGCGGCTCCCGCCTGATACTTCCTCACAATTTACTGATGAATCGCGCTCTCGCATAGGACTTCCTCGCAACTTACCACCGAATCGCGGCTCCCGCATGATACTTACTCGCAATTTATTCAAATGCGGCTCCTCGACACTCAGGAACCTCGCTCCCGCTACATATTGCCTGGCGGTTCAAGCAGAATTTACGCTTCAACGACCCGCCCGCTCGACCCGCCCGTCTGGGCCTGCCCGCTCGACCAGCCCGTCAGGGACTGCAGTCGCCGCTCGCTGCCCTTCGCCCGCCTTCGATGCCCCTCGCTGCCCGTGCTGGTTCCGCGGTCGCCTTCGCTCGCTGCCCTTCGTGGCCCCGTTGCTGCCCTCAGTGGCCCCGTCGCTGCCCACTGTGGCCCCGCATTATATGCCCTTCGTGGCCCCCGCTCGCAGTCGCTCGTCGTGGCCCCATACGCATGCCTTTCGTAGCCCCGCTGTCACCCTTCGTTGCCCTCTCGCTGCCCTTCGTGGCCCCTTTGCTGCCCTCTGTGGCCCCGCTGACGCCCTTTGCGGCCCCATATACGAATGCCCTTCGTGGCCCCCGCTCGTTCGCGCCCGTCGTGGCCCCATATGCATGCCCTTCGCGGCCCCGCTGTCGCCCTTCGTGGCCCCTCCTGCCCTTCGTGGCCCCGTTTCTGCCCTCAGCGGCCCCGTCGCTGCCCTCTGTGGCCCCGGATTAATTTCCCTTCGTGGCCCCCGCTCGCTCGCGCCCTTCGTGGTCCCATACGCATGCGTTTCGTCGCCACGCTGTCGCCATTCGTTGCCACCTCGCTGCCCTTCGTGGCCCCGCTGTCGCCCTTTCTGGCCCCATATCGGAGGCAAGGGGGTGAGATCGAAGTGGGACGGAGAGCCCCCCTACCGGGAAATCGATTTCGGTTTCGTGTTCGTGCGTGCCGTGTGTGCGGGCGAGGCGAAGCTGCGTGGGCGGGCGATAAGAAAATCTCCTCCGGCTGAGGCGCGGCCGGACCGACTGATTCCTTTCCGGGGGCTGGTGGCCCGCGGTGTCCCGCCGGTGTCCCGCCTCCGGCTGAAGCGCGGCCGGACCACATGATTCTTTTCCGGGGGCCGGTGGCCCGCGGTGGCCCTCGGTGTCCCGCCGGTGTCCCGCCGGTGTCCCGATGATGATGATGATGGTGATGATGGTGATGATGATGCCGATGCTGTTGTTGATGATCATGATGTTGATGATCCTGATGATGCTGGTGATGGTGATGATGATGGTGTCCCAGTGATGATGCTGATGCTGATGTTGACGATGTTGATGATAATGGTGATCACGATGATGATGGTGGTGCTGATGATGGTGTCCTGGTAATGCTGATGTTGATGATGATGGTGCTGCTGTTGATGGTGATGGTGTCCCGATGATGATAATGATGCTGATGGTCCTGATTATGAAGTGATGATGATATGATGATGGTGAAGATAATGATGACGGTGTCCCAATGATGATGATGGGGTTGATGATGATGCTGTTGATGATGATGGTGGTGATAATGATGGTGCCACCATGATGATGATGCTGGTGATGGTGATGATGACGATGATGGTGTCCCGATGGTGATGATGTTGTGGATGATGAGGAGGATGACGAAGTGATGATGATGGTTTGGAAGATGGTGGCCCGATGCTGGTGATGATGATGTTGATGATGATGATGGTGGTGCCCCGATGATAACGATGGTGATGATGATGGTGGTGATGATGATGGTGTCCCGATGGTGGTCATGATGATGTTGATGCTGTTGATGATGATGGTGTCTGGTGTCCCAATGATGATGATGTTGATGATGCTGTACGTGATGATGATGGTGAGATGAGGATGATGAGGATGATGGTGGTGTTCCTAAGATGATGATGATGATGATGATGATGATGATGATTGTGTCCCTGTGATGCTGATGTTGATGATGATGACGGTGGCGATGATGGTGTGCCGATGATGATGATGGTGATGATGATGATGTTGATGATGGTGATGATGGTGGTGGTGTCCCGAGGATGATGATGACGCTGATGTTGGTGATGATGATGATGACGACGTTGATTGTGAGATCAATTGTGGTGTCGATAATGAAAACGGTAGTGATACCGAAGCTGACATCGATTGTGATATCGATAGTAAGATCGATTGTGAGATCGATCGTCAGATCGATCGAATGCAATAGATCGAATGAGATCGATCGTGAAATCGATCGAGCGAGACCGATAGTGATATCGATGGTGAGACCGATCGAATGAGACTGATTCCTTTCCGGGGGCTGGTGGCCCGCGGTGTCCCGCCGGTGTCCCGCCTCCGGCTGAAGCACGGCCGGACCACATGATTTTTTTCCGGGGGCCGGTGGCCCGCGGTGGCCCTCGGTGTCCCGCCGGTGTCCCGTCGGTGTCCCGATGATGATGATGATGATGATGATGATGGTGATGATGGTGATGATGATGCCGATGCTGTTGTTGATGATCATGATGTTGATGATCCTGATGATGCTGGTGATGGTGATGATGATGGTGTCCCAGTGATGATGCTGATGCTGATGTTGACGATGTTGATGATAATGATGATCATGATGATGATGGTGGTGCTGATGATGGTGTCCTGGTAATGCTGATGTTGATGATGATGGTGCTGCTGTTGATGGTGATGGTGTCCCGATGATGACAATGATGCTGATGGTCCTGATTGTGAAGTGATGATGATATGATGATGGTGAAGATAATGATGACGGTGTCCCAATGATGCTGATGAGGTTGATGATGATGCTGTTGATGATGATGGTGGTGAT